TTATGGATAAGTCTGTCCATGTGTTGTGAAATTAACGAGTTTTCATTGTGTCTTCTGACTGCTAGTTGGTGTTCATGGATGCGCTCTGCTAGCTGCCTGTCTGTCCTACATAGTGGCTGGTAGAGGTCTTACACTGTATGTTGTAGATGACTCCTGTTTTTTCTTCTTGAGCTACTAGGTCTTACTTGATTTACTTATGTTTAGGAGGGCTTTAGTTAGTTTGTGTGTTATGGTGATGCCATGTGGTTGTAATAGTCTGTTGTTGTTTCTGAGATGTTTCTGATGTATGGCAGTATTATCCTTTTCATAGCTTGTATTGGTTGTGCTTTAGTGGGCTGAGGAGTCAGGCACTTTTTGATAAAGTTGTGTGGGTATCCATTTTGTTGGAAGATATTGTATAGATGGTCTGTTTGCTTTTTCTGCTGTTCTGGGTTGCTGCAGTGTGTTTGTGCTTGTCTGAATAATATTCTCACATAGCTCCTCTTGTGGGAGGTTGGGTTGTTACTTTGGTAATAGAGTACTTGGTTAGTGTGGGTTGTTTTTCGATAGATTCACATTTCTAATTTGGTGTCGTTTCCTCTGCTGATAAGGATATCCAGTGTTGTTGTTGTTTTCTTTCCTTGTGAATTTTATTCCTTTGAAGATGTTGATTGTTTCATGTGTCGTCTTTAGTTATTCCTAAGCTACGTATATTCTCTTTTATTGCTACCTGTTGCTCTCTCAAGGGCATTCCTATAATCTCTTCGATCTTGTTCACTTATCTACCTTATCTATTCTTTGCCCTTTCTTCTATTTCCCTAAATCTTTCCAAGACTTTTTTTTATTATGTCCAGATTCTATTGCTGTATGCAACAGCAGGCTTGGGCTATACTTATTCCCTCTCTTTGATCTTCACTCATGCAACTCGCTGTGAATCTATTATCAGTGTGAATCTCCAGAAGTCCTTTTTAGGTATCTGCATTTACTGGCTGGTTTTCATTAACCCTGTATTCTAGGATCCCTCCTATGTTTATTGTGAACCCATCAACCCTGCCCTCCAGGAATCCCCTTCTAGGTATCCTACTTTTATTGAGGTGTTCTCAGTTAACTCCCATTTAGCAGTTTGATCCCATCAGTCAGCTGTACTCTCCAAGAAAATATCTGCCAAGACTTTTGCATTTATTATATATCTCATACAGTTAAACACTCCATTCTATCAGTTGTGGCCATGCCACAAACATTTAAATTATGTTTGAGGTTTAAGGCTTAAGAATCAGAGCAGGTTTCAGTCTTTGTCCTTTCTTTGCTTAGCTTATTAAGTAAATTAATTTGCTTAGCTAATTACATTGAGCATTTAATTTTTGTAAGTGATTACAAAATTCAGTATTCTAATATAAGAGAAAGAGGGAAGCAGGGCACGATGAGGAATTCTCTTATGATCTTCCTGGTGTTTTCAAGCTGTAGGGTATATTACATTCTCACTATCCATTACAAAGTCAATTAGTACTTTGTTGCTCTCTTAGAGGCAGATAAAAAAAGAGTTAAGATCAGGAATCAATGGCCAGTTTGTCCCAGAAAGTAAAGTGTAGGTTCTTCTTCCTCCTTGTTTTCGGGCATGTCTCTGTTTTTTACCTTCAAATTCAGTGGCACATCTTACCCTGCTCTTTTCATTGATTCCTCATCCAACTTCTCCACATAAGGAGTGATCTCTTGCTTTCTTCTTTCAGACTTCATCTTTCTCCAGCATAAGCATAGGTCTGCTTTGGGTTAACTATTGGCTCTCTGTTCTTATATGCACTTCTTGGTTTTACTGACCATGGCTAACTATCAACTTCCTGCTTCACCAGATGCCTACAAAATCTAATTTGTTGGGGAATTTTCCAATAGGTTGTGTTTATTATCTGATGGTTCCTTAATTACATTCTTTAAATCATAATTTATTTATAGTACTGGTGCTAGAAATCTTTTTTTTTAATGACAACTCCAGTTTAACCATTTGTATTGAGATTAATAAATTGCTTAACTGCTCTTGTTGATTAGATTTTGTTCAATCTAATCCTTTTGAATTCTTTAAGTACATTAAGGTTAAGTTTGCTGTATATCCCACTATTGAAAGGTGGCGTTTTGGAACTTCAGAAAGGAACTGCAATTGGAAGATCATTTTCTTTAAGCTGGAGAGATCATCCTGACGTTATGGAACCAATGAGATTTAGGAGTGCTACCACCTCAGGAGTTCCAGGAATTGAGAAAGCGAGGAATATAGTGCGTCAGAGAACAGGTTAGGAACAGGCAATTTAGTGTTCTAATAATAAAAATGTCAGTGATTTTGTTTTCCTTGCTATAGGAATTAATTTCTGACATTTCATATCTGATACTTTGATTCCTTGAGCTGCCTTTTAAACAATCTGTTTTTTGTCATGGGTTCTGTATAATTCTGTACATGAATTGTTTGCATTGCCTTGGGAACCTTCTAAAGATCTGGCAACCCATCCCCCTGCCTTAGAATCTGTACATGAACCAAATATTTGGAGGGAGTGTTTCTGGCCCAGTTTCTCTGCCTCAGTGATTATAAGACACTGACCTTGAGTAGTGGGTGGGGAGGGGAACTTTCCATTTTGGGTTATTCATTATTAAATATATAGAATTAATCAATAGGTTGGTAAATTAAGCATTTTTAAATTATAAGGTGGTAAAAGAGACTAGTCCTGATTCCAAATTAATTGAGATTTCACACATCTGTGTCTAAAAGTAGTTGGGTCATCATTCATATGATCATCATGCTGTCATCATTTGGCAGCACATACTTGGTTTTTTATTCTGATTATTCATTATGGACATCAGAAAGTGGAGGGTTGCAATGCATTGATTGAAACAAGCTTTTAAACTCTTGCATGGTTCATTCCATAGTTATATGTATTCATATATTTTCAAGTATTTATCACATTCTTTAATCTTATGGAAGAATCAGAGGTTGTATGTGTATAATGTAAAAGCCTTTGCTATCAAATTGCAAGACTATTGTGACTGGCAGATACAATATTTTAATAAGTTAAATAGCTTGCAATACTTGGAGCTCTTAAGAGAACAAACAAAATTCCTCTAAAAAATCCATAACAAATACTTTTGCATTCATTCAGTGTTCAAAATTGCTTGTAATTCTTTCATCAACTTTGTAAGTTGGATTAATAATACGACCTCTGCTGTAAACAATATTCCTGATTTCCTCCCAGTTTTCTCTTACAAGCCTTCTTGGATTCCTGGTGAGAAATGTTCAGCTCTTTTTTGGAGGGAGGAGGGCTTCACTTTTCTTCATTCAGTTATTTATTGCTTCATCTTTACCAATCATCTAAACCATGGCTTGTTTTACTCATGGTTTCTTGAAAAAGCCATTGTTGGTCTTACAGATAACTCATGGTTTACTTGGCCACTTCCTAGTTAGATCTTTATAGTCTCTGTTCGTCACACTTATTTACTTATGTGTCTCAGCTAGACCTGGTTTATCTTTACAAGTCATGATGTAGTCTTTTTCAGGGTTTTTCCCCCCCAGTTTCAAAGTAACAGCTTTATACTGCAAAAGATCAAGTCACTTGCACCCCCACTCTCTTGGTAGGCTTAATTGCCCTCTGTAGATACTCCTGGCTCCATTCCATAGGGCTGTTCGAGTAAGACAAGAGCATCTCCCATATGATGGAGTTTGTTCAGCGTGCAGAAACATTGTGCCTTGGAGAAGGTACAGCAGTTGAAAAGTATTGCTAAGCAGAAGAAATTAGTCCTGTTATCACCCCCCCCCCGTGTACAAATATGGTCAATCTTAGTTGTGAGACTTTTATCCAGGAGCAAATCCTTTTCTTGTTCTCCACCATGATAAAAGAACTTCCCACTTAGCCACTTACTTTCTAGCTTGGAAAAATATTGTATCAGATTCAGGGATCTTCACTATTGCCTCCCTTAGCTACACTACAGGTGATCCTTGCTTAACGACCACACGTTCATTTACCGTTCAAATTTGCAATGGCACTGAATGAGTGGTACTTACAGCAGGTCCTCGGAGTTCCAGCTGTTGCAGCATCCCCACAGTCACATGATTACGATCTGGGTGCCTAGCACCCAGCTTGCAATTACAGCGTCACAGCTTCCCATGGTCACATGGTTGCCATTTGTAACCTTCTTTTCTGGCTTCCAACAAGCAGTCAATGGGGAAGTTGTCAGGAGGTCGCAGATAGTGACCACATGACATTTTCGCTTAACAGTGGCAACCAGGAGTGCTGAAATTGCTGTTGCTAAGCAGCACGTTCACGTGACATTGCACTTTATGACCATGGCGCTTAGCGACAGCAATTCCAGTCCCAATTGCCATCATTAACTGAGGACTACCTGTATTGAGTTCTTGTGTCACCCCTCTCTGTCTTTCCCCATGCTCCAACAAGATGTCAGATAGCCCCCCAAGGAACAAAGGGACCCATTTCCTTCCCATTCTATTTCCTGGTAAATATCCAATTTGCAAATCTTCCAGGTGGCTTAAGCCTCTTCTGTGATGAATAATCTAATAGACACATCCCAGACTCTTTCTATGACAGTATCAACAAATGCCTCTAATAGAGTTTGGATTCCCCTCTTGGGTGTTATTAGAGTAAATGAGATGTGGTTCCTCTCCAAATGAAAACATCAAGTTAATTACTTGGACCTTTGCAATTTTCAGAGCTTTACATTCAAACCCATCCTTTGGAACTGAATTATCAGGTCACTGCTAACAACATGATTATGGTTTTCTACACCAACAAATAATGCAGCATACATTGTCTAAGCTTTTTCAGATGAGATTGATGCCTCTGCCACTGGATAACATTTGTAGCTATCTGCCTCTTAGGATCTGGCAACAAGAAGACTGATTGAATGGGACTATTACCACATTTCTATCTCTTATAAGTAGATTTGCATCTGTGGGTAGTGAGAGCAGTATTTGATTTGTGGGAGACCCCTTTTATTGATCTTTTCCCATTCACTGGGAATAATTATTTTCAGCATTTCTGCAACAGGGCAGGCTGGGGCCCAGAACTGATAAGGAGTTCTGTGAGAGTTTGTTCACTCATAATTAGCAAAAAAAACAATTTAATACCAAATTTAACTATTGCAGAATAAAGGATATATGGAAACTGGACCTTCCAAATCAAAAAGGGAGCTAAGTAATTCATTTCATGAGGTGGGAATGAGAGACAAAATGTTTTGGATGTTGCTTCTGTATATATAGGGCTTGCTCTTGAATTATAGCAGTTGCTTGAATTCCTTGATTACATACATATGGTGGTATTCCATGCTAAATGCTGCTTACTATCCAACTTGCTGAAAAATATATGAGAATATGATTTTTAAAAATTAAAATATTTTAAAAGTAGCAACAGCGACAGATGAATAATGAACAACCTAACAGTAAATATGCACTTATCCAACTATCAACTTGAATTTTGCACAGTGCATTTATGTCATCCATCCTGCAAAGCTCACCAAGCAAAATCACAATACAGTTCTTGCATTTGGCATTCTAAAGATTCAGCTGCACAGTCTTCATTACATATTACTATGTGTGTTATACATATGCATTTTTGTTTTTGGCAATCTTTCTTTGAAAAAGAAAGTATACAGAGAACATATAGGGATAATATATTATATTAGAACACCTGCGCTATAACTTCTTCATAGCAATTAAGTTTTAAAAAGGTGCAGTCAGTTGGTTATCAATCTATGAACATGTGTTTAACTGGCTCTCCCTCACCCGGTTTTGTTTCTGTCCTTCAGCTAGCTCCAATCAGTAGAATCAGGACTGAATTAGTGCTTGCTGTTTTGTAAGCTAATGAATGTCTCCACATTTCTGTAACTTAAAGCGGTAAAAAAATAATAATTGTGGAACACTGGAAAACTTGAAATAATAAGGATCAAAATTCCCAATTTTGTTCTATGCTCAGAATACCCAAAACTGCCATTGTAAGTTTGATCATTTTGCACCACTCCCAGTGCAGTTTTTAAAGCCCTGGCAAAGATAACTTGAAGATTGATGATGATGATGATGATGATGATGATGATGATGATGATGATGATGATGATGATTGATTGAAGCATAGGAAAAAAAGAAATAGAGAAAATATCAAGATCAACCTTGAAAATTGGAGGGAGATAATTATTTACTTAATATTTTTGTAAAAAGTTAGGACCCTGAGGAATAACTATTAGATAAGGATCTTAATAGTATAGATAGTGCTTGCTTAATGACAGTAATTGAGAGCGGCAATTCTGCCACTAAGCAACGCAGTTGTAAAGTGCGATGTCATGTGACCATGCTGACTTAATGACAGCAGCTGCAGCAGTTCCAGTTGCTATTATTAAGTGAATCCCATCGGGTCATTAGGTGTGACGTCATGTGATTGCCATTTGCAACCTACTGCTGGCTTCCCCATTGACTTTGCTTGTCAGAAGCCAGCAGTGAAGGTTGCAAATGGTGGTCACATGACTCTGGGATGTTGCGACCACTGTAATTGTGAGCTGGTTGCCAAGCACCTGAATTACAATAATGTGACCGTGGGGATGCTGCAATAGCTGCAACTACAAGAACTGGTCATAAGTCTCGTTCAGCACTGTTGTAACTTTGAATGGTCACTGAACATGTGGTTGTTAAGCAAGGACCACCTGTACTCTGTAAGTAAAAAGGATCTTTATAGCACTCTGTAATATGCATGTATATATGCATGTATAAATGATTTTGTAGTACTAAAAGTTTTAGTGTTCAAACAGATATCCCAGATTTATCACTCAAATGTGCAGAGAGATTTTTCTTTTTAGTGTATCTTTTTAGTTCATATTTTCATTTTTTTATCTGTTCTTTTCACCAGCATCACTTGTTCTTGCTCTTGGTTCCCTTATTGCTTTGATGGGACATTAATGAGCTTGATTGCTTGAGGTCAAATTTGGCCAGTTGTGTTGTTTATTTCTCAAAGAAATTCTGATGTAACTTGCTTTATTATTGCCCTGTCTTTCTGATTGTGTTTCTGCATTTTCAACAACTGCACAACTGACAAGTCATTTCAACAGTTAGTGCTTTGCATCACTGCATTTTCATGGCAAGACATATTTCACCATGGGATTTCTATTAGCTGTGCAGTTCCTAACTTTTATTTTTAAGAATTCTGCTTAAGCAAGGCAGAAAAAGGCTTCCAGATGCTGCTCCCTATTTGGAGAGGAGATTGATTTTTTTTTAAAAAAAGTAATCAATTTTGAAGATAAAACAGGGATTTTAATTAAGGTTGCAATTTTATATCTACTTATGTTGATACACACACACACAAACACACACATACATACACATAGACAAAAACTGTTTATATGTTCAGCACTGGGATATAAAATGAAATAGAATGGTTTTTGTTGAAGATCTAATATGGAAGATAAATCTATGTCTCTTCTGTCTCATAAAAATCCTATCACAATGGGCATTTGTTGCCATCTTCTTACAGATTCCTAGGTGATGATGTAGCCATTTTCTCCACAGTAATCCAGTGTGCAAGCAGAAGATGTGCTTTTTGTAGAATCAGTAACACAAAAGAGAAATAAGGGTGATGAACAACATTAAGGCTGCCGAAGTTCCAAAAGCAGGATTTTTTTTCCTCTGTCCTCTAGTTCCTTTTCCAGTAAGAGATTTAATAAATTGGCTTTCTAAAAAAAAGTTAGTGAATAATGAATAACCTTCTAGATTATCCTTTACTGAATTTCTGCTGAACTGCTTTTTTAACCTTAATGAATTGTATATGCACAGTATTCATGTTTATGAATTTCTAAATCTGTTATTTTCTGTTTTATATGGAAAAACAGTATCCTACTAAGTAAATTACTATTTTACTTCTATTAATTTATTTTTCTCTATAAGCCAAGCGAAGCCAATCTATCAACAACTGTGCTCGTCTCTGTGAGGCTTTGCCAACCACTAAAAGTGTGCCTCTTCTCCTTCATACTGTGAGCTCTCTCTTGCCTGATATCTCTTACACTTCTTACTCTTGCACTTTTTCAGGTATGATATTATACAGTTATTTAATTATAACTTAGCAAGATTGTTTTCTGTTTTATTTTACCCTATATCTTGCATGATACTGTATTTTGACTGAAAACTTTGGGTTTTTTTCCAAGTCTACCAGGAAGTAAGCATTAACAATCTGAAATCTGTAAAGCAACTTCAGATTCCCAAGTTTCTTTGAGGCTTAAACCAAAACTTTTTGAGACATATACCACTTTCCTTTGAAATATACTCACTGTGCCAGGCTTCATAATATGTTTTTACACTGTGAGAGACTGTTTACTTTTAAATATAGCAGTTCCTTAGACCTATTCTACAACATTCTCAAGTTCTCAGTAATCATTAGGAAGCACAGTTTGAATGAGATAAATTCTCCCACTGCCCATTCTTGACATTCCCAGTTACACTTTATGTAGCTAAATCAGCAACTGACTTCTCCCAGCTCACAGGGAATCATCACATCACGGGAAAACATCTATTCCAACTCTCTTGCATGTTTGGGTTGAGACTCCAAATAAACAAACAGATATATAAAATGAGGAAAGAGAATCAGCTATGATTCTAGTTCCTAATCTTGATACAAATTTCTGTAGAGCTGGAGTTGAATGGATAGCTGGCTAATGGATGCTTGCATTGTCCACTGATGAACCCTGCTTGTCACACCTGAAGTCAATCAGCAAGCTGAATTTATTTTAAGAGGATGGTGCACTTTATTTGTGCTGTTTCTTTTGGAGACCAGCCTTTACTATAAGATTTCCAAGTTTCTACCACAAGCAGAGCAATCTAAGAATGCCAGAACAGTATCAATACCTTAGTATCAATAGATTGCTGACATTGTAAGTCCTCTCTGCTTCATCCAGTTCTGCTGCCAATGCTAAATCATCCAGACCACGCTGCCATCTCCGCTACCTGACCTCTTTGCAGGAATGCTGCCTGCTGCTGGACTCTAAGCATTCTTGTACTACAGTGATATGGCAGAAGCACTGAGTGCATTGATGTGATTTCATTTTCCATTAATACCCTCCCCTTTAGAAATGCTGCTGTTCAACAGAACAGCCACCCAAGTCCATAATTACTACCTCTTCAACTCTTGCCATAGATGGAGAGACTATGAGGCCATCTGCCCTTCCTGTGGAACTATTGGACTTGTGGTGGTTGCAAATGTACTAGGATGCAGGTCTGCTAGGATTCTTGTCTTTCCCAGAATGCTACAGCTTTCAGACACAACTACAAGTGCCACATATTGTCATTTAACTTTAGAGGTATTGAAAGCATGATTTCCCCATTACAGCAATAAGAGGCATCGTGTTTTGGAGCCTGATCCCAGTCAGAACACCACAAATCACTTTCTCTTCTGAAACGTTTACTTGCAAAAACTATAGTACTGAACCACCCCTAGAACAACCAATTTGGTATATTCCAGAATAAAAATCTGGAGAAACACGTTCCCCAGGATGTGTTGTCCTCAGAATGATGAGCTTTGTACACAACTAATTGTGAGTGACACTAGACAGATGAAAAGCGCAAGACAACTAAACAGCACCAAAAGGGTCAGAGGATGTTAAAGCCTAATTTACTAACACACATGTACACATCATTTCAAATACGATTAATACAATGTGTGTGGGCATTTTGCTTGTAAGAACAAAAGAAAGGCAATAGGTATACACAACAATGCATTAACATTTACAGTTTTAATTTAGTTAATTAAAAAGCACAATATAATCCGTCTATTATTTGTGTCGGCTAAGAATCTGAATGATTTACAGCACGTGCCAGATTTTTTGATGCAACAAGGGGTGTGGATCTGAAAATCATTATATCAAAGACCAAAATAGTTGCATTTGACGGGAAAATGGAGTTAATGATTGCAAGTTATACATAAATAGCAAAGAACTAGGACAAGCAGACAAATTTGCATGCTTTCATAGAATGTTTATCCAGAAAAAGATGGGAAGTGGAAAAAAATTAATGTGTACAAATGTTGGTAGAAAAGTAATGATTAGTATGTGGTCTGATGCAAGAAATCACTGTTTGTTAGAAAAAAACAAAAATGGCTATGCATAAGAGCATGTTCTATTTACTTGGTTATATATGAGAGTTAGCTATTTCAAGAGAAGCACAAAAGCTGAATGTAGTGAAAATAAATACATTTAAGCATGTGTGATAAAACAAGAAGAAAACCAAGAAAAGAAGTGTGCTAAATGTGGATTGAATACAAAGTTTGAGTGATGAGCATGAAACAAATATGTTGAAGTGGTTTGGTCATACAGAGAGAGTGAATGAAGATTTATTTGTGAAAGAAACATTGAAAAAAGAGTGAATGAATCAAGAGGAAATTGAAGACTAAGAAAGTCATGATTAGATGAAGCTGATGAGATCCTCAGAAGGAACAGTGAGAAGAACAGAACACAACATATGAAGTGGTATATGGGCATGGTGGAAGCAAGGATGGTTGCAAAGATAGAAAGGTACAGAGAGATACAGTATATTATATATTGGTGTAAACTAGCTTTAGTTTTTCGTTTTTCTTATTGCATGCCTTTAATTTCTTTCACTTATATTTCTTACTACTTTTCTGCACTTTGCATAACATTGTTTACCCTGAAAGGGAATAACATGATAACATAAAAGGCCTAGGTGGCAATGAGATGTGATTGCAGTGATAGCAATTTATATTTACATGACTCTCCATGATCTCACCATCTGACCAAAAGACTGCAGTTGGGAGACTAGCAATAAGGATCAGTGTCACTAAGGATTATTATCTTCCTTCCCTTTGTTCATGTTTAAATCAAGACATTACGTGAGCATGCATCATAAAGGTAGCCATTGAAAACGTAATGCACCCGAGAGGAAAAGTTCAGCAGCATGATCTTGGGGGGTTCAGGAAGATATAAAAATTGGTTGGATTTCTGTGGGAAGCCTTGAGTTGCCTGCCACCTGCTTTAATGCAAGCATAAAATCTCCCTAACCACAGTTCCTTTATGATGGGCTCCTAGCGGTAGATTGTGTTTCTCAGTTAACTCTAAGATATGTGGACATCAAATCCCAAAATTCCCAGTGCTGCCTGGGGAATTCTGGGGAAGATGTGTTGAAGTCCACACATCTTAAAATTGCTGAGATTGAGAAACACTGGGTTAGATTAAGGCAAGAAAGTTGGAAAGAACCAAGCCCAGTCAGATATAGACTGTATTGCATGTCATATTTTAATTGTAAAAACTGGTTGATGTAAACATATTCTTTGCAATTGCCTCATTCTCCTGTGCACCATGGCTAGCAAACCATAATATTCAAGTACATCTAACCAGAAGATATAACTGCAAGTAGAATTAAAGCAAGATGATAATGTTCTCTGATTAGGTCTGCCCTCTACCAATTTTTGCTGCTTGTTTGGAAAAGTCAGTACTGTTTTTTCACTAACCTGTTGTTAGGGATAAGAATGAGATGAAAATGATCTCAAACTCTATCTTTCTTCAATAAGGGCAATGCAGATATAGCTAAAGGAACATATTGTGAAATTTATAATCTGGTTAAATGAAATGTATACAAAGATTCAGAACAGAAATCAAAACATAAGTAAATTGAGTGAAGGTGTTGTGGTTTGCCTGATAAGTGAAAGGCAAAAAAGATGAGAAAAAGTTATTTGTATGTACCCAACATGTACTAGCATAATTAAACAATATAAAGAATGTTAAAGAGAGTGGGTGTTCAGTAAAACATTTTTACCAAGAGTCAAGCTTAATCTGTCTTTATTTTTCCTGTACTGTACCAAAAAAAGGCTAGAATGGCTTATAAAATCAATGAATTAGTTCTATCCTGAAGTTTACGCTGATTGCAGTTTCCTTGATAGATGGAATCTATGTGCTCTTCTGCCCTTTTTTAAAGTGTGTGTGTGTGTGTGCAGGTGTGTGCAGGTATATGCATGCTCAAGGAAATTTTTATTAAATGCTTTAAAAGTCACATTTTTGATTTTTTGAAAAATACGGAAAAGATAGGCTTAAGCTGGTTTCACAAATCAACTTGTTCATTTATCCACATGAGATTGTTACATCTGGTAAATTCAAAACATATTTCTGTTAAGAGCTTTCTTATCTTGAGGCCCAGAATCAATGTACTCCCATAAATGTTACACTCTGAGTTTGACTCTTAAAACTGCACACAGTAAGATAAGATACTAAAGTGAAACACTGGGAGTGAATATTTCAGGAGGAAGGACTCGCAGCCCTACCCATATGCTTATTTCCTGTAGAAACATAATTGAACAAAGACAGATGATTAAACCAATGTGAAAATAAATTTGCTTCTAGATATTCTAAGTAAAAATGAAAAATTGGAGGTCAATGTTGTGTTACAATTTTATATTACATATTGGTTTACTGTATTCTTATGTGCTTTCACGTTGTGAGCCCTGGCAAAATAAATCTTAGATACCACAGCAAAGGACAGGTTATGGGGTTTATAAGTTGCTGAATTCAGTGTAGTTAATACACATTCTGGGTGCAGTTCTTTATAAAAGTGGCCAGGTAGGGTTATCTTGAAGTATGTATAGCTCTGTGTAATATTGAGACATACTCTGGCTGCATTCCCGTGGCAGTGTAACTTCTAGTTTATATCTCAGACAATCAAACAAATAGGTGCCAGTTTGTCATCCTTTCTCTTCCCATTATGGTATCCCAGCCATCCTTGTAATAAATGGCCAGCCTGTACTTCCAATCACATGCAGGGATATCAGATTAATAATTAGAAATGTTTCTAGACCAATTAATGCACATGTATTTGTTGCACACAAAATTCAAGGCACGTGATTAAAAAAAAAAAAGATAAACCAAACAAAAGCTGGTATTTGAAGTTTCTTTACAGCTACAGTATTTCTTACACAAAGGAATTAATTTAGTTGGAAGAAAATTCATCTTGCTGAGAAGAAACTGAGTTCTGATTAGTTCTTAATCCTTCTAGATACCACTTCATACTTCAGATCATCGCACATCCCCATCATTTTGCAGTTAAAGAAGTAGTACAATGGCTTATGTTCTTAAGTACATGTTTACCATGTCCTAGGTGACCATTAATGTTTTATATGTTAATTGATAATAAGAATGCAAATACTTTAATAAGTCAAAGACCTTTATTAGAAATAGGTATGGGCATTTAAAAAATATAATTGATAAACTTCTGTATCAATCCCTATAGAAAGTGAACAATATGAACTATCAGAAAATGGATCAGAAATTGTGAATCAGCAGCCAGTAAACGTATCAGGAACAGAATATAACAGTCCTTTTTCGGACCAGGATCAATTAACTCGAAGCAGTAGTACCTCTGATATTAGAGACCAATGCAATTCTGATATTTTCCAAGGTAATCTCGAAATACTTTGAGAAAGAATTGTTTTCATATGAAATTGTTATATGTAATAACATCTGAAACACTATTCATATCAGATGCTAAATTTGTTTAGTATGCCATTCTCTGTCTTGTATTGTCTACAGTGCTGCCCAAGCGTTTTAAAAATGCAGCAATATTTCAGTATTAATTTTATATTGCCATGAAAGTTCATTTTTTACATTTATATTCCAATAAGACTGATAGCATATTTTTATTATAGCCCATTTGTGTAAAATAAACATACACTAACATTGTAGGAAAAAATAAACTCCAGTGAATTCAGTAGAATTTATTCTGAATAAACATGAATCAGGTTATTCATATTTAAACAGCTTATTTTGTTGGAGTAGAAATACTCCCAGTTTACAAGTTTATAACATACAAATTTTACATTTTTATATATATATATATACAGTACCTACATATTATTAGATTTTTATCTCACCTTTTTAATATGTAACTGAAGGCAGCAAACATACCTAATACTCCTGCCTCCTATTTTCCCTACAAAAACAACCCTGTGAGGTGGGTTGGGTTGAGAGAGTGAGTGACTGGCCCTAAGTCACCCAGCCAGCTTTTAATGCTTAAGGGAGGACTAGAACTCGCAGCCTTCTGGTTTCTAGGCCAGCATTTTTACCACCACACTAAACTAGATCTCTGAAAAGGATGCAAAAATGGAAGAAACATTTTAATCATCCATATTATAAATGCCTTTTTACAACCCAGCACCTTCAAGTGTGACAGGTTTGCTGTTGAGCACATCTGGAAGCCATTACTGTACATTATGAAAGATAGTTCTCAATATTCAGTGATCATACATTTTAGATAGCTAGTTTTTTTGAACCAGCAGAAGGCAACAACTGTAATGCTTCAAAGCCAGCAGTTTTCCTAAATACTTAATGTTATTTTGCAGTTTGTAATGTAACTAACCTCAGTTAAACTTCAAAAAGTATATTTCAATACACTAATTATTGCCAGTTATTTAAAAAAATGTTTTTTAAAAATATATGTTTTATTTTATTTTTACTGTAAATAGCCCAGAGTCGCTTCCAGGGAGATGGGCAGTGACAAATGTGAGATATAAAGTAAATAAAAATATAAAAATTTATGATTATTTAATATATTTAATAATGTTTCTGGTGTATTTTTAATCGTTTTGTATATACTATATATATGTAAGCCTACATATGGATATATGCATAGCTTATAAAATTAAGTATTTCAAATAATAAAATAAAAATTATAGTCAAATTAATTTGTTAATTTTATAATCCATAATATTTCACTTCATACTTCACAGTTAGAAAAACAGAAAGTTCACAAAATTTAACTTCAGGATCCAGATCTGTTCAAAAAAGTGAGGAGACCATGAGCAAGGAAAGTACAATACAACAAGTAAGTACAAATAAATAGGATTACAATGTACATTAAAGTATTATATTATATTATATTATATTATAT